AAACCTAGCAAATTAAAGGTTCCACCTAATCTTGGGCAAATCCCTAAAATTGCAACGAATTTACGGAGGAAAAGAAAGGAACGGAGGAGTTTACTTAGTAGGAGGGATTGGAGATCAAATCCGGGCCTCAAAACTTCAGATCTGAGAGGTGTGTGGAGGGGGATCCGAAGGGGGTGCCGCCGCCGCTGTACAGAGAGCAACTTCCTCAGAGGGGGAAGAACTGCCTGGGAGGGGCTGGCCCGATGCGGCTTAAGTCAATTTGCAGCGCCCAAGCGATAGGCGTTGCACTTTACACAGTGTGGCGCCCAAGCCTTAGGCGTTGCACTGCTGTCTGTGGGACCGCAACTGGACCAGGGATGCCACGCTTGCAGAAGGTGTGACGCCTCAGTCCAAGGCGCTGCACAGTAGTGTGCGGCGCCTAGCTGTCGGGCGCCACACGAAAGTGTCATCATTGTAAAAAAAATTCGAAAGCAGGTCAGTTTGTGATTTGATTTCGCCCTCTGGTCAAATATGTGATTTCTGCCTGAATATGAATGAAAACTGTTGGTGAAAGAGCAACAAGATCAAAAATAGCTCGTAGAAGAAATAAACATAAGCCTAAAAGAACAACTTTCTGTCGAATAAACATGTTTTTTGTGGTAGCTAGCTAGCTAGCTGAAGTTGTTATCCATTTATTATCTCCCACGGTGGAGAGATTGGCCTATTTCTCTCACAGTATTTGTCCATTTATTTTCTTTCACGGTGGAGAGGTCGGCCCATTTCTTGATGCTCAAAAGACATATATTGCGTAAAAAAGACTCTGCAAACGGAAATAACTTTGTGTGCAGATAAAAGTCAAACCGCCAGAAACAGTTAAACCATACAAAGGATACTGCATCTTCACTCCACCCATAGCTAAGTCCAGTGAGTCGTCAACCACAGCCACATCCAGAAGGAGTATGTCCATCAGCCATCACCAACATGACTCGCCTAACGGGTGGCCCATAGTACACTGCAAACAAAAATCAACACTGAAAGGATATCTATGTGAGCATGGATTCTCTTCTTTATTGGATGTACAAGGCGAGTGCAAATATTTGTGGTGTTTGGACATTCGAGAAGCTCTAGGAACACAATTCAAGTTCAAACAGTCTTTTTTTTCAAAGTTTCTTTCAATAAAAATTTATGTTTTTCCGTTGACCTCCTTGATTGTTCAAACAAAATAGTTTTTACACGTATTCGAGCATTTTGGATGGCAAAAAATTCAAAAAAAACCTTTTTACTATATTATTTGAATTTACTGTTCACGCCCAGATGCAGATGCACCTGGTCACCAAATCACGGCTCTCATTTGCAGTACTATAGGACTAAAACCAAGCAAGCATTTTTTTATGCTATATGAGTTGTGCTACATCCAGGTCGGCAGTACCTTCCAGAATTCATGCATCGGTGGCTGTACATTTTCCTCCATTTCACTCGGAAAAAATTGATATGCATGGACTCTCTCCACACGTCTGGTCCTTGTCCTTTCAAATGGAGCTGCACAAACTTGGGTCCACTCTTGTCGGTCTTATCATCGTCCGACTGACTTTTTCTTTTCGAGGGTCGAGACTATATAAAAATATTCATTCCAAGATAATAGAGTTAACCAAGTGGTCATCTTGGTAAGCTATCAGCACAAATTTGCAAACAAGATAATAGAGTTACGGTCTGCTAATACAAACATTGGAACACTGTTTAGGACCCGGGCCCGGCCCAACTAACAAGCGGTGTTACCTTGAGACCGACCGATATTAGAAAGACTATCAACTACTCTATTTTGGTTACGACCTAACTAGAGTAGTTGACAATCAACTACTCTATTTTGGTTACGACCTAACTTCAAAGGTTGTCTCAAAAAAAAAAACCTAACTTCAAAGGAATAAACTCTCTTGTGGCCAGGAGAAGCATGATTTTGGTTATCCAATGTCCATACGCAGAGCGATCTCGAGAGTCATTTGTCAAAGCAGGAGCAACAATGGCATCAGCATTGTCAGACCGGATCACGACGGGGGCTTTGGATTGCTATATGGACGGATCGGACCCTCTATGATTGCCTTGATCTCCACCTCCACTGCATCATTACAATTGAATAAGTATCTATAAACTGCAAAAATTACCGATCCTTTGAATCTCTGAGAATCATACTGGTTCCTGCTTCCCCGGTTTCCTTGACAAAAGATCCAGCTTTTCGGTAGCCAAAATGTATGCACTCCTTTCGAGGCCGTGTTCAATACCGCACAAAACAGCCGACGCGTTCCCGTGAAGACAGTATCGTCCAGCTGATTTTCTTCCCCGTCTAGTCAAGCTGCTTTCGAAAGAACCCTCATGGCATATCCAACCATATAGTACTATGAAACAATACAAAATCAGGCATGCATACCTAGCTTAGCTAGACCATGTCAACGAACATTGATAACCCACAAGCAACTCGTGTGCACAGCAAGGAATTAACCATTGCACACATCACATTCGCTCGAACAAATATGTTAGTACACATAAACGACGATAAGACGTCGACGCGTTAATCTGAATATGTTTGTTCAACACATATGTTGTGTACATATACATATAGGAAGACGTTAGCAAAACAGCGATACAAGATAATAAAAAAATGCTCATGAAGGAAATAAAAATAGCATAAATGAACCACTTTTTCGTTGAATAAAATGCATTTTGTGCTAGCTAGCTGAAGTAGTTGTCCATTTCTTTTCCTCCACGGTGGAGAGGTGGGCCTATTTCTTGATGCTCAGGAGACATATATTGCATAAAAAATGACTCTAGAAACTGAAAAAACTGTGTGCGGATAAAAAGTCAGACCGCCAGGAACAGTTAAACCATACAAAGGATACTGCATCTTCACTCCATCCATAGATAAGTTCAGTGACTCGTCAGCCGCAGCCACATCCAGAAGGATATCCATCAGCCATCACCAACATGGCTCTGCCTAACAGGTGGCCAATAATAGTACACTGCAAACAAAAAATCAACACCATCAGTCCCCCCACAGTCCACACCACTCCCTTCATCTGAAACCACTGAAAGAATATCCATGCCTATGGCTTTCTTTCTTTGCAACTCCAACCACTAAAAAACACAACACATCACCTCAAGAAAATTCCACTGGTCAAATCGTCAGTTCATAGTACAACTAGATTTGATTACTTCTGTCTCATTATATTTACATTTCATCAGGTAAAGATTCAAGGAGGAGCGACGCCGTTGGGTTCAACATACATCCTGGCACCTAGTCGAACTATATGTTTCCTGTGAGCCATGTATGGTAGTATGGTTTAGCATACACCAGGCAAGACTCAAGCAGCGCCATGGCTGTACTCCGATCCTAACCATGCTTCTTAAGCATAACCTTTCTAACTTTTGCTACACAAAGATATCGACAGTTTAGATGCTACGGATGGCTAGTGGACATAAGAGTGTAAGAGGAGCACTGTCACAATTGTTCGGCCCTTCTTCTTCGCATCTGAGCTCCCCAGGATAGGTTCTCTTCTGCATCCTTCACCGTGCTCCGCTTCTTCAGCTCGGATATTTGGCCTTCCCACGATGTCCTCCAGCCAGACTTCTCTTCCTGTTCCTGTGGTATGGTTCACAAAGGCGGGAAGTTAGCGTGGAGAAAGAGAAAGCTCTACAGAAAGTTGGAACTTCGCAAGGAATATAACAACCAATCGTTGACAATTGCCATGGACATTGTTAATTCCACATCATCAACAGTGATATGTAAAGGGACATCACCAAAGATAGCTCACTCCTGCAATTTTCATCCATACACGTAGGATACCACTTTCCAAATGATTAATCTTTTTAGATTTCTTGTCAAATCTGACAACGCCAAATTAACAAATCTCACCCATGCGATTCTTTCTTTTTCTTCTGCAAATTATTAGCATGAAAATGACTTCTCTAAATCCATCTGAACAGACACCAGCCATCATCATGCCACATGTGCATATATTTTACATCCACCGAATTCATTCATATTCGTATATGACATCGCACATAGGGGGAGTTTCTGTATTTCTTATTCTGTCGTTTGTGAATGAAAGGTCATACATCAAGCATATGGGGTGGTTAGTCGTCAAGCACCAAATATTGGGATCTGTTGAGGAGGCCTAGAAGATCTCCAATCTAGTATTTTTTTTCCCTAGTCCTAGAATACTCCTGGATTAGCCAGCCAGCCATCTCAAGCCAGGGTGGATCCCACATGAATGATATGTTAAACTAGGATCCCACATGAATGATATGCTAAACTATGAGTTTACAGGTGTCTTAACTGAATAAATAAGCTAGCACAGAGTTATTGAGGTTTTCTATTGAGGAATCTTGTTAAATATATTGAGGATTAGCCTAAAATGTTACTATCAGGTTCAGGTATTAACACAAGCCAAAGTCTGCATACAAAAGCAGAGCATCAAAATGTGAGGCTCATTTGTAAAACCATCTGAATCCAACAAGGTTTGAAGGATTAACTAAGACAACAATTTGAATTAAAACCACAGGGGGATTCAGTTGCGATCAGGAATCTGAGGGGCAGATCATGATGCGGAGAATTTCCATCCATTATTATTATTATCTAAAAAGGAAAGTAACAGTTTGACGAGCTGGAGGAGAGGAAATGGTGGAGATGACGTATGTATGTATGTACGCACCTGGTGGTAGAAGGCGGAGGCGTCGTGGCGCCGCGCGGCGGGGGAGAAGGCGAGGCGGCAGACGCCGCGGGCGAGGGCGCGGTCGTAGGTGGTGCGGCGGCTGGGGTCGGAGAGTGTCTCGTAGGCCTCCTGCACCTGGATGAAGCGGCGGGTGTGCTCCTTGGCGGCGTCCGGCGGGGACACGTCCGGGTGGTACTTGCGCGCCATCCGCCGGTAGGCCGCCCGCACGTCCTCGAAGCTGCTCCCCTCCGCCGAGATCCCCAGCAGGTCGTAGAACGTCGGCTGCTGCTGCTGCTGCTGAACCGCCGTGTACGCGCTCGCGGCTCCGGAAGCGGCGGCCGCCGCCGCCCGCGCCCGCGTCGCCGCGCGGGGCGGGGGCCGGAACCCGGCGCGG